CTGCCCCGCCCCGCGTTCCACCAGCCCGACCGCGCGCGGCGCGGCGGCCCCCACGGTCGCTCGGGGTGGCCCGGGGGAGGAGGACGGCCTGAGCTGGCGCTGTAGGTGGGGGTGTGGCCGTGACTCCAGCTCTGCTTAGCGCGACCATCCTGGCTCTGCCGTCCATGTGGGCGTCCACGAGACTTCGGTGTGGGGCCCCAGCTGCCACATGCCGGGCCTGGGTGACAAGAGGCCGCTGGAGAGGACTGGCCGGTGGTCATGCCTGGCCAGGCCGGCCCTTCGCCTCTCTGAGCCGCGTCTGTCACATGGGTTTAAGAGCCTGTCGCGGTGCTGCGGGGGCTTCCAGAGGAAGGGCGAGGTTCCTGTGCCATGGTGCTGGTGGGCACTGGGGGTGCCGGATCTTGCATCCGGAGTCATACCGAATGTCTCCCTTGAGACCTGGCTGAGTCCCTGCCGACCCCTCCTCTTGTCCGAAGATATCCTAAAGTTTAAAGCCACACTGTCCCCTCTGTCACAAATGCCCTGTTCCTCTGGCCAGCTCTCCTCATCTTTGTGACTTCTACAGATGTGGGTTAAGTTCCTCATCCCAGCATGCTTTGGCCCAGCGTCAGGGGAGTGGTCTGCGGAGTGTCTGTGGTCCCCCTGGGCCTGGCCTTGTGCAGCTCCTGTCCTCCCCCGTACAGGCACTTAATGGTTGGGGTTCTGCTCACAAAATGCCACCAATCGCACCAGTCGTATGTGCACACGTTTTACAGAACTGAGAGAGAGGCAAAGGGAAGTGGAGATTTTACACGTGCTCTTCATTCCTTCAGCAAGTATCATTCCTTCACAAGTGTCCCCTGTGTGCCAGGCAGTGGGATCCAGCAGTGAGCAAGACAGACCAGCCTGGACCTGACAGCTGGGGGTGGGGGTGGGGAGTGGGGAGCAGACAAGAAAGGACTGGGTAAAAGGTGGGGAGGGCTGGGGGACCCTTGCTGAACAAGCAACAGGGGGGCAGGAGCTCAGAGGGGGAGGTCAGAGATGAGGGGCCCTGGGGGTGGGCTGCCTCTCGATGCTGTGTGCCCAGGGGCCTCGCCACGTGACTGTAGAACCCTCTGGCTGCCATGTTCGCAGACTGGTCAAGGCAGGGCAGAAGCCAGGAAGCTTGTCTGGACAGGAGGCGGCTGCTTCCTATTGAGCCTAGATAATAATCCTGAGAGGTAGGGACAGGTGAGGACACAGAGGCTTCAACAAAGATGGGCTGGCACCTGTCAAGGCCACACAACCAGGCTGACCCTGTAGTGGTTGGTGTGGTGTCTCTATTGTGGGGAGTGCAGATGTGGGCAGCTGGCAGTGGGCGGGGGTCAGGGCCTTCCCTCCCATCTCGGGTCACTCTATACCCCTCCCCCTGGCCACTCCCCCATGTCCTCTGGTTCCTTGGGCCTATTTTCTCCTCTTCTGGCCTCTGCCCCTTGGCACAGAGCATCCCTGAAATCCATGGAAGGAACCCAGGTGAGCTTGGAGGTGACAGCAGAGGTGGGCTCTGCCCCCCACAGCCCTAGTACACTGGGTCTTGTGCACAAGCTTTGCTCTCCCACAGTGCTTTCTACAGGCAGAGATGTTCTCGGCCACCTTCCCTAGCCTATGTGCACACTAAGAGGTCCTCCCTGGGAGGGGATCCGAGGGTGTCGAGGACCAACCTGATGCCTGGCAGAGCTGTCCATGAGGCCACCGCCTCGCTGTCCTTCTCAGGGTGCTGTGTGTTTCTGTCTGGGTCACTCTGTCCTTGCAGGCCTGCCTGTAGAGAGTGACCTCCCTATGTGGGGCTCTTACTGTGTGTGGGACACTGCACCAAGTGAGACCCTTGACCAGCCCTGTAACTCCCATATTAAAGAAGAAATGGGAACTCAGAGAAGTGATGAAATAAAACGTGATTTTACTAAACAGATGAAATCATCCCAGGAACTCAGCAAATCCCCGAGACAGATTCCTGGGGTCCAGACTGCGTGGAGCTTGGCCAGAGGAGACCAGGTCTGGCTGTCTGCAGAGGCCGCACATCAGGGTGTGAGTGGCTGCCGCTCCTGGACAGAGACTGCCTCCCCTTTGCTGTGTACTTGCCCCTGCCCAAGCCCACCTTCTCCCTGCCCCCTTCCCACTTCCCTGTCTGTCTGGGAGCCGCTGCTGACTTGTGAGTTCTGCACAGTCTGGGCTTGGATCAAGGCCACGGGCAGAAAGGGTGAAGGGTCGGGTGCAGGGGAGAAGAGCTGCCTGAGGGGACAGAGTGCAGGTCCGCATCCCATGGCTGGGGGTGAGGAGGGGCTTTGGCCGCCACTGAGCAGTATTCCTCGCTGGACCCCAGCTCTGACCTCTGCCTCTCCTTCCAGATCTGTTCTCTGCTCCAGGAAGAGCCAGCGGGAGCCCCCTGGCCAGGGGAGGGGTTTGTCTGAGTCCCGTGCAGCCTGCTGGGTGGGAGCTGAACGGGAGGAAGTTGGAGAGGTGGCCCAGAGAAGTCCTAGGGTTTGCAAAGAGTAAGATCTGCCCAGAAACCTGGGGGCTTCTCAGAGTCCAGAAGTTTTGTGGGACGTGGGTTTGTTTGTCAGATGACACTAGGGCAGTTTCCTTCTTCCTGTGATCTGTGTACGCAGGATGGGGAGCAGCGGGGGGACTGAGGGGGACATAGGAGGCTCTTCAGAAGGGAAGACTGGAGCATGGGTTTTCCGTCTGGGGCAGCAGAGGCCTTCCAGAGGAGAGGTCCCCTTCCTCGGTCTCTTGGATCTCTGGGTGCGGCTAGCGACTCTCCAAAGGCCAGCTTTGGCTTCTGGCTAGAATGCCACCCCCTCTCTGACCCCCTGATAGGGTGACCTGCACTTGGGACTTGCTGAAACAGGCTCTTCCTCCTGTCTTCCCCCAGACTGGGGGCCTTCCATGGTCCCACAGGCACCAGGTTGTCTAATTGGGGGCAGGGGTGTCCCTGACCCCTATTACTTGCATCTCCCTGCGTTGTTGGGGAAGCCCCACTCCCTGCACCTTGATGTGGGAGAGGCAGCGTCCCCACTCTCCCGTTCTCTCCGGAGGGCCTGGGGAAGGAAAGCAGAAAGACCAAGAGCCCTCGGAGAACGAGCACTTTATGCGGGTGGGCGGGCCTTGGTCGCACACTGCCCTCACCGCGGGAAGATACCGCCATCAACGTCCTCCTCCAGGATGGTCTCCACGCGCCTCCGCTGCGGGGGAGAGGGGCTGGGGCCCGGCGTGTGGGGAGGCGGCCCCCCCCCGCCCCTTCCCGGGCTTACTGGCACCTCTTGCCGGTCCAGGGGGTCCGGGATCCTCGTGGGCTTTAGCTGCGGCGGCAGGAACACCTCGAGCCGGATGGCGGCGCGCGCGGACTTCTGCTGCCGGATGAGAAGCGAGATCGCCTCGGCCTGCGGGTCCCGGAGGTCGCCGAGCTGGCGCGCGCATCGCCGCGCCCGGCCCCGCCCGCGGAGCGCCCCGGCCTGTCCCTCTCCCTTTGCCCCCTCCTGGAGGGGACCCCGGCCGGGATTCCCTTCCGGTGTTTCCCCCGCCCCCGGCCCCTCGCCTCACCCGCATGCGGGCGTAGCGCAGCCGCAGGGCGCGGACTCTCCCGCGGGCTTCGGCCGCCTTGAGAACGCCGAGGAGCCTGTCCTGGCGCTCGGAGGGCAGCTCAAGCGCCTGGGTCCACGCGCGCGGGTCGGGCACGCGGCACCGCAGCTCCACCGACTCGTGCGGGAAGATGGAGGCGGCCGCGCCCACGTTCTCGAGCAGGTCGCCGAAGAGCAGGTGGCGGCGGCGCTGCGCAGGGGGCATGGCCACCAGCCGCTCCAGCGTCAGGGTCGAGCCCGGAGTGGGGGCTTTCGGCGCGCTCTTCCCGGCTCGCTCTGGCGGGCCTGTGCGCCCGGCGTCCTCCTTCGCCGGCGGCTGCATCCTCCGGCGGCGGCCGAGGGAGAAGGGGACCGGTTGGCGTCTGAGCCGGCACGGGCCCGGCCCCACCAAGCGCTCTGACTCTGGGCCCCCTGGACGCTCCGCAGCCGGCCTTAGGTCCCGCACCTCTGGCTTTTTGCGCCTTTGCCCACGTCAGCACAGACTCCTGCAGTCAGCTATAACTTTCGGATGGAATCGGAGTTTTAGGAAATATCCCTCCTATCCGACGTTGTGTTTGAACCGAGAAAATGCCGAACAACCCTCTGAGTTGATCTCTGGGCCTACCCAGGGGTGGACCTCACATGGGATGGCTCTGGGCGAGGCCTGGTAGACCTTAGTGTGTCCCGTGGCCTCCAGCGTCCCCCCACCCAAATGGAATCCCAGGGACTGGTGTGGTCTATCCTGCCGCTCATTGGACAGGCGACCTTCAGCCTTGGTGTTAGGGGCGTGGAGGGCTCTGCACGGGCGTTCGTTACATCTGGGCAGATGTGTGTGTGCAGGTTTGTGTGTCTGTTGGGTGTGTATCATCTGGGCCTGTGCATATCTGTGTGGGTGTGCGTTTATGGGAGGTCTTTGTGGTTACGTGTGTCTGTCTGGGTCTGTGTGTGCGCACGTGCATGTGTACGCCAGGAGGTTCAGAGCTGCGTGGACGGTTGGCTCACTGCAGGGGAGCTCCCATCCTCCTGTCCTGTCCCCTGCTGGGCCTAGATGAGGGGTAGCGCAGAGCCCAGGGAGGAGATGACAGAGGGGGGAGGACCCCAAGCCCCAGCCCACAGCGCCCCACCCGGCCTCGGGCCAGGTACTGGCTCACTGTGGACCAGAGGCAGAGCCACGGTCTAGGCGTCTGCTGGCCTCCCCCTGCCACCCACCTGCCCTGCTTTCCACTCCCACCCTGTCCTGAGCTCCAGCAACCGAGGGCCCGGCCCGCCCCTCTGTCCCCACACCCTTTACCTTCTGTCTTCTCCGTTGGTCGGTCGGGAACCTCCGCCTCAGCCCTGACTCTGTGGATTGTTGACGAGGTTGCCCGGCAACCTGGAGACCCGTCCCTTCCCCCACCAGGCGTGGGCGGGGCGGCCCACCCGGAGGGTCGTGGGCAGAGCCGGGTCCGGGAGCTTGGAGCCCTTCCCCACCGCGGGGGCCACGGTCGCTCCCCGAGCACCGCGGAGGTGACCGCCGGCCTTCCAAGCCGGGGTGTGTGTCTTTTCCCAGCGGCCGCAGGCGCACCGATCTGGGGACTGTGGGCCCGGGTTCCTGGCTTGGGGCACTCAGTCCCTTTGCCCTCGGCATGCCCAGGAAGCCTCCTGACCCCAGCCGCTGGTGTTCACAGGAAGGGAAAACTGGGCCAGAACTCAGGACCCCTCACCTCTTCTAGGGCAAGTTTGGGATCTCGGGTCCAGGGGTCCCCCAAGAGCAGCCCTGGGATTTGTTGAACCCCGAGTCTCTAGGTCTGGGGTCCTAGGTCCCAGATTTCTCTAACCTATTTGTGCATTCCTTAACTTTAAAATATATTATTATTATTATTATTATTTTTTTTTCCTTTTTTGTCTTTTTTCGTGTCCGGCAACGGATCGCAACCCTCAGTGTTGCGCCCGTACCGGACCGGGACCGGCAACGGGATCGCAACCCTCGGTGTTGCGCCCGCACCTCGCTCAGCCAGTGAGCGGGAACCGGTCTGTATGTGGGATCCGAACCCTCAGCGGGAGCGCCGCCGCACTCCCAAGCGGCGCACTGTAGCAGTGCGCCACCGGGCCGGCCCTACAATATATTATTTTGTAACTAACTTTTTTTTTTTTTGGTGGCTGACAGGTAAGGGGATCCCAACCCGTGGCCTGGGTGTTCTAAGGCTGCGTGCTAACCAACAGAGCTAACCGGAAAGCCTACTTCTCAATTTATTAATTCTATAATTTGTTTATGCATTAATCGGTGCATTCTAGAATTTGTCGATTCATGTGCTCATTCCACAGTTTGTCAGGCTAAGATTAGTGCATTAAGTCCATAATCTGTTAACATACCTGTTACTTCTACAGTGTATACCTAACTCTCCCCTTTATTCATAGATGAGCCCGCTGAGGCCCACAAATGGTGCCTTTTTGGGAGTTTGGAACCAGAATGTTTGCGGGCGGGACCATCCTGGCCTGGGGGTGGGTCTCAGCTGAGGTTCTGGCCTTTCTGAAGGAGGCTGTTGACTGTCCTCATTGTTTTTGGAAGCTTGCGCTGGCCTCTTGGTGAGAGGATAAGCTGTGTCCTGAGCCTGCATGCCCATCCCCACAGCTGGGTGGTATGACTGTCCATCCTTTCAGCCCCTGCCTAAGCCTTTGCCCAAGCTGTCCCCCACCAAAGCCCTTCTCGATGCCGCCCCTCCCCTCCTGCTTGTGTCTTTGGGGTGTGGCCTGGGCTTCAGCACCAGCCTGGGGGCTTCTTGAAGAAGATCCCTGGCTCCTGAAGAAACAGAGAGGGTTTGGGGTGCTCACCCGGCAGGCTGCCTCCTCCATGCAGCCTTCCTGGATCCATGAAGTCCAGACTGGGCCGTCTCTATGCTCCCACAGGGGTGAGTCTTTTGAGACAAGGACCTGGGCCTTCCTGTCAGCTTACGGAAGTCCAGGCTAGGGGCACACATGGGTGAGGAGCTAGCTGGCTCCTGGCAGTGGGTTGGGGGTCACATAGGGAGTACAGGAACATTCTATTCTCCTTCAAGAACGGACTTTCCCTCTGTTTTTCCCTCTGTTTTTGTAGGATAGAAAACCTGATACCCCTTTTCCCCTAATTCCCAGCGCAGGGCCTGCCCAGCTCACATTCCTGAGCACAGCTGATTCTACCTGCTTCTCCACACACTGGCGGTTCCGCTGGTTCTGCTGGGAGGGAAGTGTCCCCTGTGTGTTTGGGGCCTAGCAACTGTGAGGGACCCATAGGGTGGATGTCTCTCATCTGATGAGTGTGGGTGTCACTCATCTGTTCCTGTGCCCAGGACTCGTGTATTTTTCAAGGACTGACAGAAATGGTGAGATCTAAAAGCATGTTTATTGGTGCTAAGGCCTGAAAATAAAGGTTCAAAATCAAATTAAATGACATTTCTTAAATGACTATAAAATTTAATATTGTATTGAAAGGTGGCAACTCAATTCTTTTGTCATTGTATATAAATTTTATAAAGTTAAAATCACAAGGACAGAGTAATTTATTTTGATATCCCTCTGATAAAATTCAGAATTGTTAAAGTCCTTTCACTGTGTAACAGTCAAATGGCTGAGTGTGGCCTGGTGACTGAATTCCCTGGGGGACGTGGTTTCATGTGGGGCTGCCAGATCCTCTGCTTTATTCCCGTGCCCCGTGCCCAGCGAGGGTGGGAGCATGCAGTGAGGGGAGCAGACAGCGTGCCTGCCCAGGTGGTGAGGGCTGAGCTGGTCTGCCCTTGGAGTCACTGGGTGAGTGTGAAGTGTGTTTGCCCCAGTGTGCCTGTGTGAATCTCACTCCAGGACCCAGGCCTGCCCAAGTGCCCACGGACTCCTTGTGCAGCCCGAGTCAGGCTTTAGCCATATCTGTGACATGTGTTCTGTGCTGTCATGCATGTAAGTTCTGTGTCTTGGGGTGTCTGCATGATTTGTCCTGCCTGCTTGTGACGTGTGTTTGAGGTAGTCTTTCTCTGACATACGTACTCTCTCCCTTACCACATGTCCTCTGCTGTCCTTTGTGTGACACATATGTTCTGTGTCAAGCCCTTGCTCTGCCTACACCTCTCTGGGGGTGCTGCCCAACTTGCTGGGTTGGGGGAAGGACAGGACTCCTGGTCTGGGGTCAGGAGAAGCTGGGGCCGTTCTCTCTGCACCGCCAGTCCTCCTTTGTGCAGTGCTCTCGGCCTCGGGCAGGGCCCTGTGAACCCCAGGGAGTGTAGTCAGCACCCTGTCCTGGCCACCCTCGGGCCAGGTGACCAAACCTGTCTTTCCAAGGGTCCAGATACCTGCCTCCAGCTGGTTTCTGTGCTGGGTGCCATTGGACACACTCTCACAAGCTGTCTGCTGAGGCCAGAGCTCACAGGCCCAGTCTGGCAGCAGCGTCACTAAGTCACGGCCAAGGCCATGCAAGTGAGGACGCCAGGGCTGGTGGGGGCAAGGGCAGGATCTGTGCAGGTGGGGCAGGACAGGCACAAAGGAGGGAGGAGCAGGTCCAGGTCCACATTAAAGGGACATGCGTGTTCTGTGGTTGTGAACGTGTCAGGGCAGGACAACAGAACACATGGGATGCACGAGGGAGACGTTACATGTCTGGGGACACCCTGGACCTGCAGGGTCCCCGTGAAAGGCTTGAGGCCTCTCTTTATTCCTGGAAGGACAGGCAGGGCTGAGTTGGGGGCATCCTGGGGTGTGGCAAGTGGGTGGTTGCTTACTGCTTGGGCGAAGGGGACCGGGCTGGGGATAGGGAGCCGAGTATGACCAGGGCTGGCTCGCCTCTTTTCCTCTTCTTGCTCCCTGTCCTCTTCCCCTCCCCTTCTCGTTCTGAGTTGGGGGCATCCTGGGGTGTGGCAAGTGGGTGGTTGCTTACTGCTTGGGCGAAGGGGATCGGGCTGGGGATAGGGAGCCGAGTATGACCAGGGCTGGCTCGCCTCTTTTCCTCTTCTTGCTCCCTGTCCTCTTCCCCTCCCCTTCTCGTTCTCCCCTCTCCTTGCCTTTTGTTTGGGCGGCTGGCCAGTGTAGGTATAAGAATCAAACCCTGGACCTTGGTGTTATCAGCAACACGCTCTAACTGAGCTAACTGGCCAACCCCTCCCTCTCCCTCTTGACCCCTCCATACCCCCTTCCCCACTCCTTCTCCCTTCCTCTTCCTCTCCATCCCAACCCCCCATCTTCCCCCTCTATGGCTGCAGGGAGGAGGTAGGTGAGGTGACCCGGGTGGCATGTGTGTGTGGAGGGGGAGGGGTATGCAGCTGCAGGGACCAGTGCCCCGTCTCCACCCTGCCCTGACCTCTGATACTGACTCCTGGACTTGGGGCATCAGGTGGGGTTCCTTTG